ATCCAAACATTACTATGCTCCCACAGGCCCCTAATCCCAAAAATAATGTAGGTGTTCTTTTTTCCATCGCAGGTTCTCATTGAGACTTCATTGAAAATGTTTGAGAGTTAGTTCGAACAAACTTTGGCGAAGATGTATTATATGAAGTAATCTCCTTAGTCCATGGTCTACGCTCCTACCTGTACCTCTATAGCCAGTATCTCGGGATAATATTCATTCATCTATGACATTTATTCGTGAAAGGAACTACCTGTGATAAATATGCTTATACTTGCTTGACCTTCTGATAAACTGTCTCTGTTTTCCTGATTGTTATTCGACAATGTGGAAATATTCTTATAAGTTGATGGATTCTTTTCTCTGGGATGTTCCTTGGGCCGATGCGTAGTTTTAATGCGATTCACTTTTCCTTAATGATGAATCAACCTCCTGTAAAAGAAAACAACACTCCGGTCTACGCACAAACGTACCTACTGTTTTCTTAGTCTGACTTTTGATACAAATGAGTAATCAACTGTTAAAGGGCGTTATGATTGAACACATTTTTGCTTTGTAAGAGGTAGTGCTGATATGCTTACTGAGATTATGCATCTCCATTTTCCAAGGTTTCTGTTGGTTCACAAGGTAACGTTTTGGTGGGCTTCACTGACAGGATCCATCCCATGTCTTTGCAATTTTTGTTTTCACTTTTTCATGATTTAGAATTTAATTTAGTTCAGAAAGCATGGTTGAAATGCAGCCTATTAACAGTAGAGGGTCGTGGTCTACGTCAAGGACTACTACGATGGCGCTGATGAGCAGCTGATCAAGCAGGTGATGATGAAGGCGAGGGTCTGCTCAGTCGGGGGTAGAGGACGGCGCTGGCCATAATAAGAGTTTTCTGTATAGCATTTGCCATGCCATCAGGCTATATCTTCGCATTTCTTCTTTTATGTGCTATAAATACAAATGTATGAGTATATCTGAACTTGTAATTTCTGTGTTGCAACACATGCCTAAGCTTCCTAGAAATATTCATGTACAAAACACACACCAAACAAGCCAACTGAATGGGGTCTCATGAGATCATTAAAGAAAGAGCTAGATGAATATTATTTAGAGATAACCATGATTACATATTAGTGACCTGACGCAAAATACATCATTGCTACTTGGTCAGGGCATGACGGCTCACACAGGTCCGTGCTACAAACTGGAATTAGATAATTATAAGCACTAGACGACTCTCAGGACTTTCTACACGGTACTAACTGCTGCGCTGCAGGAAGATTAAGAACAACATAGCGATGACCAGGATCAGGTATTCAGGTTGGTGCCGGCAAGCAGCAGTGCTGTGCGTTTGCTGTCCGTCGAGCAGCAGTGAGATGCCGCGCAAGGGGGCAGGGCTGCTGAAGCTGTGGTTGGGCACGTACATGAGCTGGTTGAATCTCCGCCTGGCTGCCGTCCAAGAGACTGTGTTCGTGCCTGGATCTCCGGTGAAGGGAAGCGGATGTGTGCACGGCTAGAGGCTGGTGCAGGCGTGCAGCACCTATGGCTGGAATAAGCCATGGCGACTCAGCTCCGGCAGGTACGTGTCCGTGGATCTCAAGAACAGACATAACCAGCCTGCAACAAGCATGTGGATGTTCACAAAGGGGATCGCCGCAGGTGGGGCAAAGAATCAGTGGGAGTACATCGTCGGGCTGCGACGACAAAGAGGAGGTAGTTATCGTCTCCGGATCTGGTTCTTGCCGGCGAGAATGAAGAAGATAAGGGTAGGGGTTGGGAAGGGAACGAAACTTCCGGCGAAAGGATGGATCCGTTGGCTAGAGCGCGCAATAAATGGGCCGGTCAGTTGACCGCCGTTTGTAGCATAACGTCTGAGCCGTGGCCCATGACGGGTCGCACGGGCTGAGCCGCCTGGCGGAAGGACGACCGACGTTACATTAAAGGAGATAGGTCAGTGGGCCATAGGTTGCATATACTATTTCGAATACAGATGGAAATACGCTGGATGGTGCGAATCTTAGCGGGAGCTGACGGCTCTCATATGGAGCTCATCTGAGCTCGAGCTCAGAATAGCATTTTCCGTTTTTGTGGGCTTTCTCTTCACTCGATCCATGGGGTGGTCCATATGGTTCTTAACTAGCCCGCTTACTACAGGGTGTATAACTATGCATTCATCTACCCCTGTCATCCAACTAGCTGTGCCGGCCCCATCCTTACCAAAACAGAATATAATATAACAATTAGAATATGAAAAAAGATGTGTTTTATCTGATTAGGGTGGCAAGCCCAAAGTATGATGTTGTTACGACATGGCAGGCCCAAAGTCAATGACAAGATCGAGCTCTTTATAATAGGGTGCTAGTATCGCTGACTTTGCTAGGTCCTTTAATCAGTCATTATTGAGAAATCATAAGTAGTTAACACCATACACCATTTGTTTTTTCATATCCATCTCTATCTCTAGTGACATAAAAGTTAATAATACCACCACTACGACATGCATGACACAGACGTCTTTGTAGATTATGCCGAGAAGCACAGTTGAATGTATCGGGTTGCAAGTTGCATCTTGAAGATGTACTTGCACCCCAGCTTGGCCTCGATTGTTGCCCAAACAAATTAATGCAGCTAGAGGCACTCTTCCCATGTCAAGACAAGTTTGCCTTTGGTCTCATTGCTACGATGACTCTCCACCCTCTATTGAATTCTCACTTTTATGATAGTTTTTTTTGAAGCACCAACTGTGCAACAATTGTCCTACGGTGATTTTCTCAATAACATGAAAAAGTAATATTTACAAGACTAGTTACAAAGAGAGAAAAGTAATAATTTAATCATTCATTTACATGCATTTCGAAAAGAAAAGAAAAGAAAAGAAACATTTCAACTCTAAAGAATGTATAAAAGTGTTAGGGACTTCAATTATTACGGACACACTCATCCAAGAGCAATGTTCACCATAAGAGGATCTGGATTGCTATTTCTCAATCGGCTGAGAAATACTATTCCTCAATCAGCCTAAATCACTAGATGTGTACACAGTGATTCGTTAGGATTTTTCGTTCAGCTTTTCTTCTTTCCTTGGTGCATGCTTTACGTCGTTTTTAATTACTTTTGCGGGTTATTATTTTATTTTTGTTCCCCTTTTCACACGCAGCTAAAGTTGCATGCTCAACGCCTGAGTACAATTATAGTTGCACGCATGTCCAGCCTCGCACAACTACAATTGCACATTCGTCAACCTGGTGCAACTACAATTGCATGCCCGTCGGCCTAATGCGACTGCACGTCCGCCAGTCTAGCACAACTACAGTTACATGCCCGCCACCCACCGCAACTATATAGCTACATGCCGGCTGCCCTAGCACAACTGCACATCCACCGCCCATGCGCAACTAGCACTACACACCCCTAGTCCGCCCACGTGAGAAAACAGTTATTTGTCAAACGATGATCTACCACACCCTGTAAGGTTGAACAAGTTCAAGACTTTTTGGCACTAAAGAAATGAAAGACAAAATAACATGAGAAAACTTCTCCAAAACATTAGCAAAAAAAAAGGTCCAATGGCTAGATCAAACTCTTCATCAAGGGTTGTGACTGTCAAGGATTTCCTAGGTCCTTTTACCAATCGTCATTCACAAATACGAAATATTATTAATATACGCCTTCTATCTATTTCACAACTAATAAATCTCATTGAATAACACAACATGTTCATCTTGGTTATGCGTACACACTTAACTGCTCAAAGTATTGCAGTTGTTGTGTAGGCACAATTACGCATGTTGCATTTCTGAATGACTTCACCCCTGCTTGACCTCGATTGTAACCCAAACTCATTAATGCAGCTTAAGCAACACTTTCCATGTCAAGAAAAGTCTGGCTACTTTTTCATTGCAATGATGCATCTCCCTACATCCATCCTAAACTAAATGATCACTTATAATAAACTGAATATTTCCTTTACATACATTTCAAAAATAAAATAAAATACATGTTTCAACTCTAAACTATGTCAGATTGTTACTGAAAGATTCATCCAAGTGCAACATTTATCATGAAATGTTCAACAAGCTCAAGACTTGTTGGTCTTGCAAAAATGGGAGACATAATAACATGGCAAAATAATTTCAATAAACTATGGCAGGAAAAAAAATCAATGGCTAGATCAAACTCTTCATCAAGGGGTGCGGAAGGACATTGCCAACAACTACACAGAGAAAAAACTAGTACAGAGCCCTAGTACACCAAGAAAAACTGAAGTCATCGTAAGCTTATATTTTATTTGAAAATGGAGGCGTACCCCCAGCCTCTGCATCATAATGATGTATGCAGCCATCTTATTAAAAGGTCCGCGAAGTAGCACAAAGTCATAAAAGTATTACAGCTCGCAAGTGGAGCGAAAAAAGAAAAAAAAAACATGCTGACAATCACAAGCGGTACGGCAATATGAAGAATAAGCTCCGTAGACTCCTATCTTATGCGATCGCCATCCGAACCGGTTGAATATAGACCGTGCTAATCGTAAGCTTATATGGTGTGCAGTTAGCAAAATCCAACAACGAAATAATGCCCTATGGTCCTCACCTGGTGGTACTTCCCTTGGCTGATCCATTTGCTATAGGTGAGGCTGCATACACGGCCCGCTAGATATTTACTCAACTATTCCGTTTTGTCTCGAATCTTAGAAGGAATCTAAGCCTGGTGTTTCTGCTAGAAAAAAACAAAGCATACTGTACTAGTGATGTATCTAACCAAGATATTGTTATGGAAGATGATGTTTTGTAATGATCTCGTTGAGCCCTGAAGGAGCAAGATTAAATCGCTACCCTATTACAATATAGTTTAATCATAAAATCAATCCATAAACTTGGTCATATGAAACATAAAGTTACTCACTACAGTAGTACAAATTTCTTGGAACAACAGATACAACAAAGGCTGACACTGATAGTTACCTATCTTATTCGACATAACATACATGTTGAAACTCCGACCCAGAAACCAACCTACGGATTACGGGACCTATGCAGCGTGAGAAGGCGCCCTGCAACATCTGTCATTGATGGTCTTTTATCAGCATCAAGGTTAAGACACTCAACAGCAATATCTACCAACTTGTTAAGAAATTCCAAATCTCCTGTCATTGCAATTTCCTTATCAAAGAGCTCAGTCATGCTCTCCCCATTTTGGTGACACTCTAGGAAGCTCCTCACAAGGCTATTATTGTCAGAATGAGTGGCCCTCCTCCTGCTAATGAGCTCTAAGATGACAACCCCAAAACTGTAGACATCACTTTTGTCGGTCAATCGACCTGTTTGTAGGTACACTGGATCCATATAAGACATGTCACCTATGATGTTTCTAGTGTGCTCCTTTCCTTTTGCAATCAACCTCGATATGCCAAAATCCGCAATCTTTGGGGAAAAGTTCTCATCCAGGAGTATGTTTGCTGGTTTAACATCACCATGCAGGATTGTGTTGTGGGTTTGTGAGTGCATATAAGCTAGACCATGTGCTGAGTCTTCAAGAATACTTAGACGTACATCCAAGTCAAGAAGGTCCTTGTTGTCAGCTCTATGAAGATTGTCTTCCAAGCTTCCTTTGGAGATGAATTCATAGACTAGCATAGGGTTATCCACTTCGAGGCAACAACCTATAAGCCTTACGATGTTCTTGTGGCTGACTTGAGATAGGATGGTGACTTCATTTGGAAATTGCTCCTTCTCTAGGACACTACGACCATTTGGTTTCTTTACCGCGACGATAACTCCATCAACTACACCCTTGTAAACTTCACCAAAGCCACCTTTACCAATTACATTGCTACTCTTTAAAACTGGTTTGAGATTCCCCCTTGTGTAGATCTTAATAGTTCTAGCCTTCTCTAATGTAAGACCACCATTCTTTCGGTAGAAGTCTTTGGCCTTCTGCTTCTCTTTGCGAAGAACAATAAAAAATGCCAGAAATGCCAAGACAAGAATGCCACCTATTGCACCTACACGGGTAAAGAAAACAAACTTAACTGTTGTAATAATATAAATTTCTGGTCATTAGTTAGTTGCCATCAAACTTAACTATTGTAATCATCAAACTTATTTTTTGAGTTACGCTTGGTTTGAAACACGAGTACAGTTTGAAAAATGGATAGCAAGATACTTGGAAGTTGAATGTAACTGTTCAATTAGGGGTCCTGATATGGCACTTCAATTGCGAGTCTCAAACTATATGAAATACATATTGGAAAAGAGATAGTCGGAAGAATGATTCAACTAGGTTTGTGCATGTATTGTGAGGCGACTGAGATAGAACAATTTAGGCATGCATAGTTAATCCGGAAAAACAATAAAGTACATCGAAAAGTAATTGTGTGTATGTAGGACAGGAGTATGATGTTTACCTACGGAAATTTGTGCTGCAAGTGGGAACTTTTGAGTGCATCGTTCGGTTCTCGGGTCACGGCTCTGATAACCTGCAGGACATTCGCATTCGTACCCTCCTTCTATGTCCGAGCATACACCGTAGCAACTATACTTGGCTGTATTTGCGCATTCATTTATGTCTGTGTTGCAGAAATTCACAAAGTGATAGTGTGTAATTAGGACATTTACAAAGAAAGAGTGTCACAGTATAGTTGTAACTAACACTTTCTACGTTCTAAAATACTTGAAGTTATAGGTTTGTCCTAAATCAACCATCCGTATGTTTGACCAAGTCTACCGGAATGTACTCCCTCCGTCTCAAAATTCTTGTCTTAAATTTGTCTAGATACGGATTTACCTAATACTAAAACGTGACTTGATACATCTGTATTTAGACAAATCTAAGACGAGAATTTTAGGCCGGAGGGAGTATATTAACATCTACGACATCACATCAACTGTATATAATATGAAAAATATTTTATGATGAATCTAATGAAACCGACATGATACTGTAGATATTAGTATTTTTTTATATATAGACTTGGTCAAAGTTAAAAGATGTTTGATTTAGAATAAAACTAGAACTTCAATTATTTTGAAGCAGAGGAAATATGAG